GCGGGAAAATCCATCATCCCTAGTGTTATATTCGCTGGAGATATTTTCTCAGTTGCTTTACTGATGGCAAGGGTTGGTGTTCTGGCAACTTCTTGATTACAGATTTGTTGAATTAGTGGTAGTTTTTTTCAGGGTCGTTAACTCGGAAAATACGAAACTCAATTGTTTCCATTGGGTCTTTATGGTCCAATTTGTAACGTTGTCATTATACAAGAGTCTCACTGTGATTTGAAGTTATGTATTCCGTAGCTCTCAAACTTGCTGTTAATTCATCATACCGTCGAACTTCGATAACTCGAAACTCCTTATGTCGAATTCGTTTTTTCAAGTCCGTGTCTGAATTCCCTTAGAAAAAAAAAAGCCTCCATATCCTCCCTTTTTCATGAGCTTTCCTCCCTCGAACATCCGTATCTTGAATTTTCTTGAGGCCTTCGAGGTATTATATTATTGAGGCAGGAAAGAGAAAAGCGATAAAAATGTAACTTGATGTGCGTTGGAAGGAAGTGCAAGACTAATTGGGCGAATAATGAACCTTCAACTTCACCATCCTGTCAACCACAGTAATTTAAAAATCGATTCGAGGCCAAAATCATTCTGATTTCCTGCAATTCTTTCGACTTGGAACCTCCGGAACTCTACATTTCTTGTTGGTACTATACTGTATCTCGAAATCCGGCCGAAAGAGGTTTGACTGTACAACATGCAAATTTTTGCGGTAAATTTTTTTTTTCTCACAGTGAAAAATTACATTTCAGCTTTTGAACGGTGTGGTACGAAAAAAAAAAAATTTTTGCTTATAATGCATGAAATGATTTAGGATCACGCTCCTCCCTACACTCGTTCAGATTAGACCCGAAAAATAAGTAAGCTTACATAACAAAAGGAAAAATTAAAAAAAATCAGCAATTTGTATGATGCTTTGTCATCTTCCTGGATAGTACTGTACATTAAGGGACTTCCGAATTAAAATGTTATGTACTCTTGTGTTGGATAACGACAACTGCTGATGAATATTTCAAACGCGAAACCCTTTCTTTCGGCATTGTTCAACTACTGCATATACAGTACATCTTCATTTATCTATGAAGTACTGTGTTCTTATTATTATTGTTGATTGATCATATTTGCAGCTCCTGAAGAGCCGAACAACATGTTGATTTGGGTCGTGGTCGGAGCATTGTCTACAATGGTGGTTCTGCTCCTCCTTTCGTGCATTGGGATCCGTTATCGAGCCGTTCGCTACAAGAGACGCTGCAATGAAATGGTCAAGGGTCTGATCTACGAATTCAAACGTGTCATCGTCGAACCTCAGCCAGACTCCGTCACTCCCCGAGTTTACATTGAACGCGTCAAATACAGGTGGGTTCCACATTTCTTGCTTCATCGATGGGTATTCCGAATTGTCGAGTTGTATTTCTGAGCTGTATTCTTGCACGTGTTACGATTTTTAATATGAATTATAAGAGGTGTGTCACCGAATACACATATTGAAAGTATAATACTGTACAGTATTTGGTTTTGATTGGATTACATGTATTTTGAATAAATGACGCAAGAAAATGTCTGATCATCAGCGTCACTCCGCCATTAAAANGTGCTCGCGAAGCCGCCAAAGGAATCCAGAATTGGGAATACGAAATGCCGATGGACGCCAAATGGGAAGTCAAAAGAGAGGATGTGAAGCTCGGGAAGGTTCTTGGCGAAGGTGCTTTTGGGCGTGTTGTGGAGGCGCAGGTGTGGGACCTTCGTACCGCTGTCAGAGGAGCCGTGTCCACGGTTGCCGTCAAGATGCTGAAAGGTGAAGGATTGAAGTCATATATTTTTCCCGGTGCACAGTGGCATTATTAGTAATCGAGTGACTTCGTCCAAAATTGATGTTCATTATTCGAATACAAGGGTATATAAGGCCGTTCCTATATCCCTCTTGATTTTTACGTGAGCCGATTCATCTTAGCCTGACCGACTGATCGTCTGGGCAAACGAACTTCAATTCGCGGGTTTGTCGGTTGTAATTCTAATCACATTTTTCATAAATTGAATGCCTTATTTATGTTCTCTAGAGTAGATGTTCGTTATTCGGGCGAGTGCATCCGGTAATAAGCTAGTACACAAGAATTCCCCACGAAGCAGTTGATTAAATCGTTTTTCATCATACTTCTCAAATGGAAAACAATTGACCGATTTTATTCAAACGTTATACTGTACTGTATTTGAACATGGGACGAAAATCAGTTGTGCTTCATGTTCTGACAATCAAACCGAACTGAGTTCAAGATCGCTTTGAGCCGTTTCATTTCCCCCTGTACGTGACCAACGTAGGTCTGTGATTGAGACCTTGTCAAAAATCACGTGGTTCCGAATCCGGTTACGATGATTCCGTTTTTTTCCTACAGAGGGCCATACCGATACCGACCTGAAGTCTTTGGTCAAGGAGTTGGAAATCATGAAGAACATTGGGAAGCACAAGAACGTCATTAGTCTGTTGGGCTGTTGCACTCAGGCCGGACCTTTGCTTGTTTTCGTAGAAATGGCCCGTCATGGAAATCTGAGAGACTTCTTGAGGAAACACAGGTGCAGTACATATTATTGTGTCGTAAAATCAACCACTCTCAAGCTGAAAACTATACTTTCCTTCACATTTTACACTATTCCAGTTTTGACATCGAAAGTATAGAAGTAAGTGAATGAACGTCTTGAACTAGAAGTACTTTTATACTTATATTGTTTTTCCGCGAAAGTCAGAGATGTCATTATTGACTCAATTTATCCGTTATGGTATATGCAGTACATTTTCCAGTGGTGTTTTTGTATTTTCTTTGTTAGTGGAGAGAAGTTTTGTTTTGTTGACTTAACTCCATTTGCATTACCACGGCTGGTCTCTTGAATGCTCAGTTTGCGGCCCTGATTTCGCCATCGAATACGGATTTTATGAATTTTTATTCGAAGGATTCAAGTTCCAGAAATACGTCGCTTCGAATCGAATTACAGTACTGTAAATCTTATGCATACAAATGGGTCAGGCTTGAAAGAAAGTCTCTCCATGATTTTCGTCAATTTTCGCGATAAATGAAACGGCTTTTGATGGCAACGCGCACTTCATGATTTTTTTTTAACTAAAAAAAAAATTTCTTCGAATTTGATCGCTAGGTTCGATTTCGCCGGACGTCAAATGAACTCCGGGAGCTTCTGCAAAACGATCCTGACGAAGCAGATGGAATCCGGCTACGAGACGCCATTTTCTATGCCTCTCACGCCGCCATCTTCCTGCAAAGCCAGCTCACCATCGTATGAGAATGATGATGTTCGTGGTATGCGACACACCAGCGGCAGCAGCGGTTACAACAGTAGCAACGGCAGTGGACATGGCAGCATTTCCATGCACCTCCTTCACCACGGAATTCGCCAACATCAACAGTTTGACTCGGAAATGGGTTCTTCCGGACTGACAACGGTGGAGCTGGTCAAGTTTTGTTACCAAGTTGCTCGTGGCATGGAGTACCTGGCTTCGAAACGAGTGAGTTCTCATTACGAGTTTAAAGAGTAACGAACCTCGGCGCCAGGTATTTTTTTCAAGTATTCGAAACGTCTATCTGAAATTAATTTTTTCAAGGAACGGATTCAATAGCATACTGCAATGCTATTCGACAGTGTTTGAAATTTTGTCAATAGTTCTTAGATTTTTTAGGAAGGAAATAATGTTACGAGTTGCGAATCCTTTTTTTTTACATTTGTTCATAGCCGTCAGATCATTCCAACAGGATATCTTTTCGTATACTCGAATACACTTCAATTTTTCTCGAGTGGGTGTAATTGAATTACCACTTCTAATGAATGAGTATTTTTCAGTGTCTGC